AAACCTCGAGACCAAGACAAGACCAACTCCAAGCACCTTCAAGACCGAGACAGGACAGAGTGTAAGTGCCTTCAAGACTGAGAAAAGAGTTCAACGGTCTTCAAGACTGAGACAAGACTGAGTCCAAGCACCTTCAAGACCGTGTCCAAGTGCCTTCAATACCGAGACAAGACTGAATCCAATTGCCTTCAAGACCGAGACAAGACAGAGTCCAGGCTCCTTCAAGATCGTGACAAGACCAGGTCCAAGCGCCGTCAAGACCGAGACGAGATCGAATCTAAGTGCCTTCAAGACCAAGACAAGACTGAGTCCAAGCTCTTTCAAGACCAAGACAAAACCGAATCCAAGCGCCTTCAAGACCGAAACAAGATGTGTGAAAATGTGGTAGAGTCCGAGACGAGACCAAAATCGCAAAAAACGGTATTGAGATCAGCCTCGAGACCATCTTCAGTTCTACAACACTGCACGTTAGTCATGAACGTCTCTGCAAAACAATTTTCCTTACTTACGCAGTTGTTTCACAGTTTTATTCTTACCAACCACCAAAAAAACGCGGATGTCCCAGTTTTTTTACTTTGAAAATCTGGTCACCATGTTCGTGGGCTGACTGGACCAGCGTACAGGAGCGGGACGGGCCTGTAGCTACTAGCCATACATACATTCCATATTATGAAAATAGAAACAGTAATTAGATACATCTGACAAAAAAGCTTTGTTCTCAACATAGAAATACAAGGAAAAGTGTGTGGTTAGAGGGTATGGGTAAGAGTGGCTGTCCTACAAATTCAAACCACTGCAAAAACACAAGAAAACAGTAAACAAAATATCCATAGTGTCCCGTTTTTTTTCGAGTGTCCATGTCCCTCCTTGTTATGGCATTAATTTTACATGTTTGGAGGAGGGGTCTGGGGCTCCGGTTCAGTCCAAAACAAGCGTCATACATCTTTTAACAGTGTACATGAGTGGTTCACAATAAAAAAGACCGTATTTTACAGCACCTGCGATGACTAATCCCGCGTGCGCTAGATAAAAGTAAATATATACGTGGTTTTGTGTGCTTCACGGATCAAGTGGCGACAAATGTTAAAGTTGGAACAGATGAAATTGTGCAAATAGCGAGATTTTTCTGAATGTAATCTCGGTTATGTTGGTAAAGGCGCATTGTGTAACTTTTCTGGCGGAGGGTCCGTCAAATGCTTTTCTTTATGGAGATGTCATTGCTTTGTTTGGAATGTTTCGCAGTATGGCATTACATTTTTCCAGGGGTTAGGTTTAGGACTGGCAATCTGTGCGTTCTGGAAAAGTACACAACGGCCAGTTTGTGGGCGAAAAGTCTGTGAAAAAGTAAATTTTTTGGTCCCAGTCCACCTCTGAACCTTTCTATCTTCGTATCTTCTATCTTTTTATCAAACCAGACCAAGTTATAGGTCAGATCTGTGGAGAGGCGACCCCGCTCACAGTCAGAATACCTGTTTTTGTTTAGTTTTTTGGGTATTTTTGAGCTATAAAATCACCTGTAATTGAATAAATGTAAGGTACACTGGAAAAAAAACTATATCTAGGTAAGTTAAAATGACTTAAATTAAGAAAATTTTACTTTTACAAGAGTCCAAGCGCCTTCAAGACTGAGACAAGACCGAGTCCAAGTTACTGACAAGTGAAATTATCTACCAAGGAAATAAGTGTTTTTCTTAATTCAAGCAACATTTGATTTTGTGTCTTATTTTAAGTGTAGCAAGATGTATTTTCATATTTAAAGTACAAAAAGTTTTATTCCCCTGGCAGATAGTTTTACTTGTCAAGTGAAATTTACTCAAATCATGGTCAAACTTTCTTAATTCAAGTCGTCTTAACTTGGCTAGATTTTTTATTTTGCATATTTTGTGTAGAGCTGTTTAATGTCATACTGTGGAACATTCCAGGCAGAGCAATGACATATCCATAGAAACAAGCACGTGAAGGACCCCCAACTGAAAAGTCCCACAGTGCATCTTTTAAGTCATGGGTTTTCAGTTTGGGTACTAGACATACAGTTGTAGCTTTAGCATATAAGATAACCTCTATAATGGGAAGTCTACGGGACTGCTGAGTGTGACGAAAGCAGGAACTAAACCAGGACTAAACCAGGATTAACTGAACCAAACCAAGTCTACATGAGGACTAAACTGGACTCAACCCTGGATCAAACTGCAAAAACACCCATAAAGACAAAACTAAATCATACCGTATGTACCCAACAAAATGTACGGTTTAAGCATTTTATTTTTTTGAGATAAATTTAAAAACTGTAAAATAATAAAATAAAAATAAAATAAAAACACAATACTAAAATAAAAAAATAAAAAAGGGTAGCCGAACTTCTGAACAAAAAAAAAAAAAAAAAATAAAAAAAAAAATATATATCCTTATTAGTAAACGATGCTGGGATTCTATTGGACCCAGAAGTTACAATGTCAGCACTTCACAGTCCCATAGAGATCGCACTACAGACAGCATCAGTACGTGAAGTGTCTTGCTCAGAGACACAACAACAGTATGCATTGCTCCTCGCCCCACCGTAACTGTTGCCCCAGGGGACTATGGCAGGTTTATCATCGCATGCATTCGAACAACTATGGCTGAGTTTTCTATAGGGATCCTGGGCTTTTGTGTTTGTACCTCCTGTTTCCTTCTCCATCACGTTTTACAGCGTTTTTCCTCCGTGAGAAAGGCAGTTTGAAATGAAATTAAGTTAAATAATTCAACCTTCTCAGCCTCGGGGAGACCGTAGCATGTTAGCATTAGTTTTGTGTACATATATGCACTAGTGTCACTCACAGTTATTGTAAAAATACCCACGTTTTCTTGGCGTCTGTTGTAAACATTTTGTGTAATCTCATCGTACTTAAAGGTGCGCTGTGTAGCTATGGTCGTAGTGTTTCTGCTGGCTGCTATTTCTTTTTTTTTTTTTTTTTTTTGGCCAAGAATGTTCCACAGTATGGCATTAAGCTTATCTATCTCTATGTATGCCAGTGTTTTAGCAATACAACACAAGTTTAATACCATACTGCGGAACATTCCTAGCTAAGTTTTAACATCTCCATGAAGATAAGATAGTGGCAGACCCCCCACCAGAAACATTAAAGCTGCACTAGGTTTAGGGTGACCAGACCAGACTCTATTTATCCAGGACAGTCCCAGTTTTGAGTCCTGTGTCCCATGTCCCAGCAGATTTATAGAAAACCAGTGATTTGTCCCAGTTTTATACAAGAAATGTTCTAAGTGTCTCTATTTTTGACCAATTTGATGTAAACAAGGACTAAACTAAGATTAAACCAGGACTACATCAGGTCTAAACCAGGACTAAAACCGGACTATCACATTTTTTGACTAATTTGTTCCCCACCAGCACTAAAGAGGAGCATCAATTGTCATTTGTTTTGCCAAAATACAGAATCTGTGTTTGAAAATGACCATAAAGCAGGGATGTCAAACTCAAATTGAGGGCCAAAATTAAAAACTTGGACTAAGTCGCGAGCCAAACTAAATATTTTTTGAAAATTTTCAACAACATCTTCATGTTTTCTCTTCTTTCGAGATGTGTAAACCTTTTAATAATAGTTTTGGTTAAACATTGAATCCAGAACAAGCATAATATAAAATAATAACAAATGTTATTGGCCAGGCCATAAAGCAAAAAAAAAATTAAAAACTGCAGTGACAGAAGTCCCTCAGATTATGACATTATGAATGCACAATCTTACATGCTCTTTTCACAATTTTATTCATACCACACTGGTATGAAAAAAAATTTAATAATTATATTATATAAATATAAATAAATAAATATATATATATATATATATGTTAGTTAAATTAAAATGAATTAAATTAAGAACATGTTTACTTTATTTGAATAGATTCAACTTGACAAGTTTCTTATTGTAGCAAGATGTAAATACATCAAGATGTAAAGATACAAATCAATGTAAATACATCTTGCTACATTTAACATAAGAAAAATAACAACTTTTTCATATTTTATGTACAAAGTCATGTTCCACTGGCAGATAATGTTACTTGTCAAGTGAAATTTCTTCAAATCATGATAAAACTTTCTTAATTCAAGTCATCTTAAATTGACCAGATTTAGTTTTTTGCAGAGCAACCATCCTAATGCAGATGTGTCCCAGTTTAAAATTTTGAAAATCTGGTCACCCTAACTATGCAGCTTCTAAGTTGGAGGGTCGTCTACTTGTTTGTCTCCATGGATATGTTATTTGTTTGCCTGGAATGTTCCACAGTATAGGATTAAACATATCTCCTTTTCATTTGTTCAATTATAGGTGTTTTATAGCTCAGAAATACCTTAAAAACCTGAATTCTCAACATGTGCAGGCTTGCTTCTCCATAGATCTGACCATTAACCTGTCTCCATTGTGATTACCAAGTTTATTTTTGTAATAATGAAGACAAACCAGTAAAATCTCCATGGAGACAAGCAGGGAAGATACACAGTGCACCTTTAAACTCACTATAAATTGCAAAATGCGTTAAAAAAGATTAGGCCATTACAACTAAACACATGTCGGCTAGGCGCTAATGCTAACAACGCTACCGCTACAAACAGAAAGTGTGTTCCCAAATCGACTGCTCTCAGCATGCGGCGCTGCGTGATGGATGAGGTAATAATATAACACAGGGAATTCTAAAGCTGTGTCTCTCGCCCTCGCGCACCCTTTAAGGCACTGGGGGTGCTTGTTCCAATATTTTCCGAGCAAAGATTCGGCAAAAACGCTCCAAAAAACAAAAAAAAAGTGTCCATCCGAAAGCATCGTCTTTGCTGATATTTATCGTTTTGTGCACCGGGGTTTGTTCTCACGCACTCCTTATAAGGCAACAGGTCCTATCCTACGAGTGCGAGCGTCCAACATCCAACATCCAACATCCAATCACGAGCCTCGGTGCAGAGTGAGTGGGCGGAGCTTAGAAAAACTCAGAAAATTCCCAAAACCCGCCGACTAGAGGTAGAGGTAGCTGACCCAGTAGACAATGTTAAAGAGCAGGAAAGAGGTGGGAAAGAAAACGCGGGAGTAAGAATCCAGCTCGCGGATGTTGACGTGGATTCGGCCCCTCCTCCAGCCGCCCTCTTTGCACTCCTCGTAGCAGCAGAAGAAGCTCTTGCAGTCCTTGCCGTCCAAACATTCGTAAAAGCAGTTGTCTTCGTAGTCGTGCCAAAAGAGGGAGTTGCCCATCGGCATCATGGTCCGGGGCGCGCGGCTCATGTTGAACGAGGAGTAGGCCTGGAGAGGACAAAAACAAAGACAACAGACTAAATCACATACGTATACACTGCAGAGGTCGATTCAAATACTCACATTATTGCAGCTGAGGAGATTTTGGAGGTAACTGAACCTTTTATATGAGATTTTTGTGATTGAGTAATACTTTTTAGAAATTTGCTTTATTTAAATTAAGAGGTAGGTGTAAATCAGGGGTTTTCAAGACACTAGATTTAGTGTCCTGGTTTAGTCCTGGTTTAGTCCTGGTTTAGACCTGGTTTAGACCTGGTTTTAGTCCTGGTTTAGATCTAGTTTAGACCTAGATTTTGTCCTGGTTTAGACCTGGTTTTAGTCCTGATTTTAGTCTTGGTTTAGACCTAGTTTAGACCTAGATTTGGTCCTTGTTTAGACCTGGTTTAGTCCTGGTTAAGACCTGGTTTTAGTCCTGGTTTTAGGCCTGATTTAGACCTCGTTTAGACCTAGATTTTGTCCTGGTTCTCAACCTGGTTATAGTCCTGATTTTAATCCTGGTTTAGCCCTCGTTTAGACCTGGTTTTGGTCCAGGTTTAGACCTGGTTTAGTCCTGGTTTAGACCTGGTTTTAATTCTGATTTTAGCCCTGGTTAAGACCTGGTTTTAGTCTTATTTTAGTCCGGGTTTAGTCCTGGTTTAGTCCTGGTTTAGTCTTGGGCAGACACTGTATTTGTTTCTTGTGTCAGCTGAGCAGCCTGTGGCATATAAATTAAATCCAAAAAGTCTTTGTACCAATTGTCTATGTCAAAGCACTTATGTTTACGTTCCTTCCAGTTAATCATAATAATACGTTTAGCTGATTAAAAAAAACAAAAAAAAAAAACAGTGATAATAATAATAATCATCAATTTAAACACGTATGAATGAAACAAAACACAACTCCAGGTCTGTTTGTGACTAGGAAACAGCATTATAACATAAAATCAGAAAATAGCATAACATGGACCCAGGAAAAGTCAAACTGAAGCAACCACATCCAATCAAAGCAGACCAGATATTCAAACCCCAATATAATAATAATAATAATAAGTCCATCTGACAATACAAGCTGCCAACTTTCTCATATTTCATTACACTATTAGCTAATAACCACCTCGAAATTAAACCCTTTGGCTCCTTTTTGACCAGTGCTTTTAAAAACACTTAAAATACCCAGTCATTTGTCGTTCGTTTTGGTCTAATACAGCTGACCCTCATAGTTCTATTAGCAGGGCCCTTGAGTGAATGACATAACATTTTGTGCTAATTGAAGCCTAGTGCCTAATGTGTGGGTGGAAATTAACTGGGGTGATTGGGACCTCATTATACCGCAGAGTTAAAGTTACTGTGTGGCAAATATTCATAATTTTTTTCTTTTTTTTTAACAGTGGTTTTACAAAGTGCCCACAGCTCACCCTATTATTTTATTGTTATACGGACAAATGTTACAGCGGGCTATTAGGAAGTTTTATATATGGTAATTAATTGACTTTGGTAACAGGTCTAGCCCACACGAACTATAATGGACAGTCTCATTACACCGGCTCTTGTCCCCAGCGCGAGCCGTTTCTAATAATGATAAATTGAGTCTCCGGTAATTGTTGCAAAACAGGCAAGATTATATTGTGCCCCAAACATGCCCATTAATCCGTATGCTGTATGTTTTTGTCCAATTAGTTTTAATATGAATGCATGCAGTGTATTACAATTACCTTTTGGAACGTAGAGTTAGAGTCTCCATTAACTAGGTCTGGGATTGTCAGCCGTTTACAACTTTAAGTGTCGTGCGATTCATATTAATAATTCGCAGATGAGGTCATCGGTGTCCGTCGTCAATGGGGTTGTGGAGCTAAATGAAAGCACGGCTCGGTTTGAAGCTTTGTTGCTCAAGATAGACTTTGGAACTTTGGACATAGGGCATCATTTCCTAGTGAGCCAGATAGGGATGCAACAATAACCAAAATATCGTGATATCGTATTGTAAAAAGTCTCACAGTATATCGAATTACAAGTTTTTTTTTTGCTTAAATGCATATAAATATCAGAAACTACATATCCCATGATTTATTTCAGTGCAGACAACATGAAGAGATATGTTTTTTAATTGAATTCTTGGGATTATGACGGAAATATTTCACACCAAAATCTTGTGAAGGTATTTTAAAAGCAAAAAAGTGTTCCATTTACAATTATATCTCCCTCTCCAAAATACCATACCGTGAGATGTATATTATGATAATATCATACCGAGAAATTTGGATATCGTTACATCCCTAGAGCCAGAGTGTTGGAAACATGTGGAGACACTTTTTTAAATATGTCTCAACTTCCCAACCTTGCATTTGAAGGATGTTTATGTTTGAGCAGCAGCAACAGTGAGTTTAACTTCCTGATAGAAAGCTTGGCAGCGGCGGATTGATATATGAGAAAATAGTCCCTCAACATGCGACAATTCATGTGATGCAAGGTTAGTTTTATTTCAAACATTATTCTATCAACACAGACATTTACATCGACAGTCTGGTGTAATAATAGATTTGCTTTGGGTGTTTTATGGAGTGGGTAAGACTGTTTTTAGTGACAGGCTAACTATGGCCATTGACATGCACTAGCCTAGCACCAGTGACCAATGCAAATACAAGGACTGGATGGAATATTTAAAAAAGTGTCTCCACGCGTCTCCAACACTCTGGCTCACCAAGAAATGAGGTCCTATGTCCAAAATTCCAAACCGTCCCTTTAATCTGAGGTTGATTTGAACACAATCTGACGAGAAACAGCTGGTTTAGTTGGAAGTACAAAAGTTGAGATGATTTTTCTATCAACCAACAGTTTTTCAGTTAGTCCCTCTGATCTTTTTTATTGAAAATCAAACTCCTAAAACCAGGGTCATGACTGTTCGTATTGATCACAGGCTCCTGAAAATGCTTGGTTTAAATCCATTTTGTGTTTTTGTTCTTTTGACTTCTTAATTTTTTTCAGCTTTTGCTACTGTGTGGATTGTGTCTCCGTGGTAACTGATGAACTCTGTCAGTATAAGCATGTTGTTTGGTTTATAATAATTTTAATAATAATAATCAAATTAAAGATGGACTATGTAACTTCTCTGGTGAAAGAACCGCCACTAGCTTGTCTCCATGGAAATTGTGTTACTTGTATTGTATTGCTCTGGGAATGTTCCACAGTATGGCATATCTATCTCCAAACAGGTGATGCCACCAAGCCAAGTTTCAAGTGAGATCTGTGGTGAGGCAAGCCCGCTCATCGTAAGAACACATGTCTTATTTGTTTTTATTAATACAAAAAAATAAAAATACCAGTCCAACATTCTCATTAGAAATTACTGCTCTACTCGTAAGTGCTGCTTGAAGATTTGATTAAACGTCTTAAAACGACGGCTGTAGATAAATTAAAGAGCCGCTAAACACCAAGATCACTTTTTTTCTACTGATTAACTGTGTAAATGGGTCTAAAATGGAAGTGTATACCTTTCCCAGACCTTATTTTGCCATTTTAGTGCATATTTGTTAAAAAAAATCTGACTTGTGGGTCAATTTCCCTGTGGAGAAATTCTCCTCTGCATTTGACCCATCCTTTCAGGAGCAGTGGGCAGCACATGGGGCGCCTGGGGACCTGTCTCCATGATCTTGTTGCTATTCTTGGTCAGCAACAAGCCTGATTCATCAGCGAGCTTCACTTTGTGGAAACCGTCTGACCTCTCAGCATTAGGATTTGTTCTTTTTTTATTTAACCAATCACTGCTATTTGGTTGTGACATATGTAATGTGCTAAATCCCGTCGGAAGAAGGGAAATAACGTCTTTCCCCTTGATAAAATACACCAAACATTCTCTTTGTTCCGGCTTTAAATCCTGTATGTGTTCGTCTACATCCATCTCGACTGCTTTGTTTACTGTTGTGCTGTACCACAAAAAAGGACCCAGACAGGCGCTTCAGTTCGACGTCGTGGCTTCACAGCTCTTCTCTGATTGGCCAGTGTGTGGTCTACAACTTCTAGGGTTCTTGCAAACCATCTAGTGTATTCTGATTCCTGACGTAGTCGCTGGAGAGAAATGAAACTGAACAAAGGCACTAGGTGGCGCTGGCCTGGTTTGGTCAGGACTGCCTTAGCTGGAGGATTTATGCTGTGGTGCATGTTTGGGGTTGATGGGGGAAACCCAAACAGACACGGGGAGAACATTCAAACTTCACACAGAAACAGCCTCTTTACGATCAACTACAGTCAGTACATTTGGATTTTGCAGGTTTATTACGTGACGAGCGCAACCACTGGCGTCTACGGACAGTACGTACCCCTACCTGGCACCGGAGAAAAGAGATAACGGGAAAAAAAAAAGAGAAACGGCGTGATCCATGCACAAATGTCCGCTCTGTTTCAAACTCTAAAGCGCACCGGTCCACGCTGTGTTGGATTGTTGGTACTGTCAGTTGTCTGTCAATCATCGCTCCAGAACCCGTCCCAAATTTTTCCGATTTCGCTTAAAGGTGGAGTAAAGTTTCTGGAGGGTGTTTCATGGCTCTTTAAAAACTGTAAACCCCTTACATTGCTGCACAAAACAACTGGCCTCATTTGAACCCAGCCTTGAAAAAAAACGAGAGAGCCGCTCATCGGAATCGCATCTGCAGATTTATTTTTTTCATTTGCGTTGGAAGACCAAGTGGCACTAGCTTTTAGATCGAGCACAAACAACTCAATGTGAAAGTGCATTCTAGTGTTTTACCATAAATCAGGGCAACCAACTTTAACTCCGCAAATCTGTCTGTTTCCGAGAACCGGGGGAGAGAGGGGAGGAAGACGGATTCGGAGCCCAGGCAGAAGTTGTCCGCCTCGGGGAGGAGGAGAGGAGGGCATCGCGGCCTCCCTATGGAACGACCAGGGCAAAACACAGCCGGTGGGTACGACATGAGGTAATTACGGAGCTCTATAACCAAGTCTGAGTCCACAGAAGAGGCTCAGTTATTTCTAATAATGAGGAGAGAGGCTGGAGACTGCGTTGAGTCAGAGGAGGAACGCGCATGGAGATTTTGGAGGAGCAATTAAAATGGACATGACAAGTCTAGACTGAAAAAAAACCCTCAGAAATCATTGAAATTGTCAGAGGCGGCCGTCTGCGTTGGAGTGAGTTTGATCTGGGGGTGTGATACAAATTAAGCTGTCAGAAAACTTTAAGCCCCCAGAGAATGATAAATGCTAAAGCTCATATCAAATACTCATTTAAATATCGATAAACGGGTAGAATTGATGCTTTGGAGAGGCATAATGCTTCGGGGGTACTACATGTATGTCTATGGTGTCTAACATGAGCAAAAACTGTCAAATAAGTTTTAAGATTGTGTGGAAAAATACAAAAGGGATTTAAACAAGATATTTTCAGGAGCCTGTGATTAATACAAGTGTTCATGGTCCTGTTTACGAGTTCGATTTTCGACAAAATAACTTAATTGCTATGGAAACAATCCTAATTTTTTATCATTCTGAAACACATGGTAATATTAAAGACCTTATAGACCCGTGTATTTGAGCACATTTCGTCTCGGTACAGGATAAGTCTAAGGCTAACATGAGCAAAAACTGTCAAAAACAAACAAAACAAAAACACAAAATGGATTTAAACAGGGATTATCAGCAGCCTGTGATCAATACAAGCACTCATGGGTCCATTGAGGTGTTTCATTTTCAACAAAAAATGTGACTGTCATGTTAATTGGGTTCACTGGATTCAGATTCCAATTCTCGGCAACAATTCGAGGACTATTCATCACTGAGAATATCTGATATTTTGTTTTGAATTGTCAGGATAATTATTATGGCAAATGGTCCTGATTTTTCATGATTCTGAAACTGAGTTAAATTGAGTTTTTTCACAACGACCAGAAGTGCCACGATGTAGGGTAAACGTCACTTAAGTTAATGGTTTTCTGTGGTAAAATATCTGTGGAAATGTCTTGCGTGTTTTTCTCCAGCTTCATAAATCTGCCCCATCTCCAAATCTTCATCCAACAAGGTCGACAAAGGACATATTCAGTCCATGAAGAATTTATCCACAACTATCAACGTAAGAAACGTTGTGAAAAAGGTCTATTTGTCTTTCCACAGTACATATCCACTGCTTCCTGGCTCCATGTAATTATAGAACACTTTATTGTCCGATAAGCAGGAAGTGCACGTTACCATGCTAGTTTTGGATAGTCTGCTCTGGTCTCCGAATGCATAAGGTAAGTGAGGAATAACTTTGGACCCCATGAACCTTTTAAAGTGACATCCAGATATAGTTTTGAATTGGAAAAGCTGCTTCGAAATGGGCCGTTTGCCTTGCCTTATTTGAGTTTTTGAGTGCTCCCGCCGTTATCGCTCAGAATTGATCCTTATACATGCTGTGGTTATGCCTGTATTGATCGGTGGCATTGCTAATATTACCACTTTTCTAAGCAGTGAAACAGAATATAGTGCAGTTTGATGAGACGTGAAAGGAGATGAAAACTGAAATGGTGACAGTTTCCACAATTTAAGAAGAATCGCTCCTTCTGATTTCTTTTAAAAGGGTTCATTTGGTGTTTCAGAAGTAGTTTTTGAAAAATATTCTCCTCATAACACCCCTGACAGGTATTCCAATTGCTTTTAAATTTGTGATGCAGGTTTGTGTTCACAGCATATTTGGTTTTATTCTTTACAAAGGATGTTGCCATATTTTTCGGACTATAATTCGCGCCGGATTATAGGACGCAATATCAATAATGCTGAATTTTCTCGTCTCTTTTCATAGATATGGCATACCACATTATAAGGTGCATTAAACCAAACAAACAGAGAACACTTGAGACTGATCCTTAGCCCAGGCATCCATAATCCATTGGCAGATCGTGGCATAATTCACCTAGTGTTGCCTCCCTGTCTTGGTGAATGTGGATTATGAATGTGGGTGGATGATTTAAGTTTGTTTTTATTTCCTGCAAGGAGGACTCAAATATACATCGAGTAATAATGTGTTTAATGCAGCTTTGAGCACATTTGTTTACATTTTACAGCAACAAAACTTAAAACCACATGGCTCATTTGCATAAAGTATAAGAGCTTCTTGTCTGCTGATGCCTCAGCTTCTGTCAAACTAAGAACCATAAACTGGGTTTTACTCTGCAGAGCTCCTGACTACGATGGCCATAATGCTCCGACAATCCATCAAGTGGTGCTTCGTAGTTTACCAAATTCGTACTAAAACATTTTGACAGATTTTTGAGCGCCGTGCACCACAAAATCATTTCAAGGTCAGTAAACCCAACCAGAATTAATACATAAAGTGCACCGGATTATAAAACATACTGTCAATTTTTCGAGAAGATTAAAGGATTTTAAGTGCACCTTATAGTCCGAAAAATATGATACTTAAAGAGCCCATATTGCACTGTGTTTTGATCTATTTTATAATGTTGTTTTCTCGTCACAAACAGACCTGGAGTTGTGTTTTGTTTCATTCACAACCCTGCTTTGAAAAAAAGATGAACAAAAAACAAAAGATATAAGGGAACAGAAAATATGTAAATGCAAATTTGACTTGATATCCATTCCCTCAAAATGACAAAAATTACAAAAAAAATATTCTGCATGTTTAGGCTGACTTGACTCAAACTGAATACTCTCCTTCTCCACCTTGTGATGTCATGCCCTGTGGTAATACAGGAAGTGCTCCATTGTGGTTTTAAACTCCATACACCTTCACTAGAATCATTTGGATAATTTCAGTGCTGAAATTGCCCATTTCTACTGAACTAAAGTTAAAAAGGAGGTGTTAAATTGAAAACTACAGCTTCATGACATCACAAGGTGGGACAGAGCATTTTGAGCTTTGGAGATGTAGACAGATTAATAATAAAGGATTATGTGTGAATCAAACAAAACTATAACACTATAATATGAAAATTTCGCATGATATAGAACCTTTAAATGATTGAAATTAAAAACAATATTGCAAAAAAATAGTAAAATTTCGTCTTCAATCTTAAATATACTGATCTTAACTGTGTTCTGATCAAATGACTAATCCAGTTTTAATGCCACAGTGCGGGACATTGCCTCACCATCCTCTGCATGCGCGGCGGCGGTCGGTGGTTGTAGGAGTAGTAGTTGAGCATGGCGTACTCGATCATGGCGGCGAACACGAACAGGAAGCAGACGGTCACGAAGAGGTCCATCGCCGTCACGTAGGAGACGCGAGGGAGGGAGTTCCTCGCCACCGTGCTCAGCGTCGTCATGGTGAGCACCGTGGTGATACCTGCGGAAAGAGAGAGAGAGAAAAATAGAAAGAGAGAGAAAGAGAAAAGAGGGAAAGAAAGAAAGTGAGATGGGGGAGGGCGATGGGAGATGAAGATAGAGAGAGTAAGGAAAAGCGTGTGCAAGAAAGTGAAAAAGATAAAGGAGAGAGGGGAAAAAGGGAGAGAGAAGGTTGATGGAGAGGGAGATGAAAAGAGAGGAAGAAAGATGAAAAAGAGAGAGAAAGGGAAGAGTGACATGGAGGGAGGGAAATGGGAGATGAAGACAGAGAGAGTAAGGAAAAGAGAATGTAAGGAAGTGGAGGGGATAAAGGAGAGAAAAAAAGAGAGAGAGCAAGAACGTTGACGAAGAGGGAGATGAAAAGAGAAAGAAGGAGGGGGAAAAAGAGAGATAAAGGGAGGGAGATGGGGGATGAAGATAGAGAGAGTAAGGAAAAGAGAATGGAAGAAAGTGAAGAGGATAAAGGAGAGAAAGAAAAAGAGGGAGAGAGAAGATTGATGGAGAGGGAGATGAAAAAGAGAAAGAAAGAGGGAAAACGAGAGAAAGGGTGAAAGGTAAAGAGTGAGATGGAGGGACATGAAGATAGAGGGAGTAAGGAAAAGAGAATGGAAGAAAGTCAAGAGGGATAAAGGAGAGAAAGAAAAAGAGGGAGAGAGAAGGTTCACGGAGAGGGAGATGAAAAGAGAGGGAAAAGAGAGACAAGGAGGGAGGAGATGAAGATAGAGAGAGTAAGGAAAAGACAATGAAAGAAAGTGAAGAGGGTAGAGAAGAGAGAAAAAGAGGGAGAGAGAAGATTGATGGAGAGGGAGATGAAGAGAAACAGAGTGAAAAACAGTGAAGGAAATAGAAGGAGAGAGAGATCGTGAGGGAGAGAGAGCGGAGGAGAAGAGTAGAAAGAGAAGAGGGAGAATGGGAAAGAAGAGGAGAAGAGAGAGAGCAGATGAGAGGGTTTGAGATGGAGAGAGAGAAAGGCAGTGTAGAAGATGGAGGGATGAGTGGAAGTTTGTGACAGTGAAGGAGAGAGAGAAGTAGAGAGAGAGGGGGGAATGAAGGAGGTATTTTGAGGGAGGAGTGACAGTGCAGAAGAGAGGAAAGAGAGAGAATGAGATGGAGAGAGAGAGAGATGGCAGTGGATAAAAAGAGGGAAAGAGAGGAGATATAGAAAATACAGATTGCGAGAGTTTAAAAAGCGACAGATGAAATACACGGGGAGAGAGAAAGAAAACGGAGAGAGGAGGGGAGATGGGAGGACGAGGGAGAAAGCAGATGAGAGAGTCAAAGAGATAAATGGATGGAGACAGACGGAGGGTAAGAGAAGAAAGGAGACAAACAGACAGAAGCATAATGAGGGGCAGAGAAAAAGAGAGAGAAAGGATAAGAGAAAGAGAAGAGGAAGGAGGGAGATGGCAGATGAGAGGGAGGGAGAGGGAGTCAAAGAGATGAATGGAAGTGGATAGAGGGAGGGTTAGAAAAAGAGAGAGAGGGTAAGACAAGAAAGGAGAGACGGACAGAAGGGTAATGACGAACGGAGAACAAGAGCGATAAAGAGAGAGAAAGGGAGAGAGAGAAGAGGAAGTGGGCAGAGAGAGCGAAAGAGAGCGAGAGAAAAGAGAAGAGGAGGGAAGAAAGTGAAAGAGAGAAAGAAGAGGAGAAACAACGAGGGAAAGATAAGAAAGGAGATAGACAGAATGATAATGAGGGGCAGGGAAAAAGGAGAGGAGGGAGAGAAAGGGAGAGAGAGGAGAGAGCGAGAGAAAGGGAAGAGAAAGGAAAAGAGAGAGAGAGGGAGAGAAAAAGGAGATGAGGTGAGGGAGAGAGAATGGAGAGGGACAGAAGAAGAGGAGAGAGAAAGAAGAAGAGTGGAGAGAGAGAGAAAGAAAGGAGAAGGAGGGGAGACAGAAGGAGAGAGGGAGAAAGGGAGACAGAAGAGGAGAAAGAGAGAGAGAAAAAGGGAGAGAGATGAGAATAGGAGGGGAGGTATAGACAGAGAGAGAGAAAGAAGAGTAAAGGAAGGGAGGTAAATAAAGAGTGAGAAAGAGGTGGAGGTATAGAGAGAGAGGAGAAGAGGAGGAAAGGTAGAGAAAGAGGAGGAGAGGAGAGGGTCAGAGAGAGATAAACGACAGGTCAGTGGTGTGACGACAACGTTAAAGCCAGACATACATAACACAGAGAGGGCAGATCTTAATGCAGGGGAATTACACGTTTGCTCGCTTTTCCACAGCTCCTATTTGTCCTTTGTGCGTTTTTTTGGTCACAACATTGTTTTGAATTATCACAAATTAAATTAACAACAATATGCAACGTTGTAGCTACGTTTGTGTGAAAGTTTTAGCCGCTTTTTAACCCCAAAACGTGTAGGTCTTGAGCTCAAAATAAGCCCACTGCGTACTGTCTGCGTGGAATTATGAAGCATTTTCTTGCCCGACAATCAGGAAGTGCAAATTAGCATGCTAGTTGTTGTTGAATTACAATGGCAAATGTCCAATCTGGTCTCTCGAAGTTGCGAAAAGTGCTTATAAACTCATCTCTGTGAATAATTAAGATGCTCTGAATGCATAATAACTCTGGATATCGATGACAATATTGACAAATTTGATGGATCAGATATCGGTCCCATTTTGGTGTATATATTGGTGTAATAAGACTATTTACTTATTGATATTTGCCCCAAACACCTTGTAAACATCTTGAATTTGTATTTTTTTCTGTTCGGTAGTGACTTTTTATGGTAAAAAATAAGTTATAAAACACATTTGTATAATTGTTTCCCATATGCCATTTGATACTTAAAGCTTTAATATCGACATCGGTATCGAAACAGAAAAAGCATGCATCAGGGCAAGAGAGGAATAACTTTGGACCACGGCAAACCGTTTGAAATGAACTAGTTCTGTTTTGCACGTTTTTGAGACCATACAGCGCCTTTATGGAGTTGTCAGTTTCCATGGCAACCCAAACGTAGCTCAGATCCGAGAAATAAGAGGTACAATGTTGGCAAAGTTCAGTCAAGTTTGAAATCTCCAAAGCACACAGGAGGGTTCATCAGACTGAAGACAAGGAGCGGAGAGAAAGAGCTAAAAATAAAAGAGTTTTGTGAATGAAACTATCCGGGTTGATTTTCTGTCCTGCAGGCGAGAGGAAAAATACGACTGTTAACCTTTAGTGTTAATGGTCTGTAGAGACAGTGTGCCCCCTTTTAGCAAAATACAGCCTGTTTTTTTTTTATTTATGCACAAAAGAAAAGTTTGAAGAAGTTTTAAGATTTTTTTGGAATTTGTGTCCCTTTCCAAAACATTAAAATTCCTATATTACTCAAAATAGACGTTATCGCTTTCACACGTTTGAGTAATCCTGTATTATTACTCTGTCGACATCTCCAAAGCTCAAAATGCGCCGTTCCACCTTGTGATGTCATGTTGCGGTAGTTTTCAAATTGGCAGTCACGTTTTTACCTTTAGGCTACATTTATATGAAGACGGTCTGAACAGAAGATGCAAAAGTGGTGTCGCGTCTTCACTTTTTATTCCGTTTTTAGATGAGTTTTACGCAAAAGTGTGTGGAATTCAATTGGGTATACATGCCAGGTTTTTGTGTACTGTATGCATATGACATACATGTGTACCACTCTGGAGGGTGGTTTCAGATTTTTGCATTTTTAAACCCCAAAAACGGCGTCACTGTCAAAACGAAAGGCACTTCCGATAAAATATTTTGTCGTTTTTACCCTCAAGCGTTCTTGTATAAACAGGCCCTTAGTTTAGTAGAGATTGGCAATTCCAGGGCTGTGAAGCGAAGGTATGTGGAGTTTAAAAACACAGTGGAGCACTTCCTGTATTACCGCATGACATCACAAAGCGGAACAGAGTCTGAGTGAAGAAGTCAGCTTAAATATGCTGGTGTGTTTGTGTGTTAAACATGTGTACATGAAACAGAACACAACTCCAGGTCTCTTCGTGATGAGTAGGGGTGTGCAAAAATATCGAAATATCAATATATCATATCATTTAATGTGATGATACAGTATCGATATCATGGGCTGCTGTATCAATATATCGCCAGCAATATTTTTTGGTATCTTTTACTCAATTATTTTGTTACAGCGCTACAATTTTGTTGGTTGTTTAGAGGAAAGAAACTCATTTATGTGACACATTTGACATTTTCACTGTTTTTATGATTAAAATGTTTGTGTTTCATATGAACTTTGCACAAGAAGTGGTTTAACAAAGACTTTTAGTATCACAGCCTTGATTTAGCCTTTATTTTTTATGGAACCGTATCAAATCAATTTGAAAAGTATAATATCAAATCAAAAGTGCACTGTATCGAGATATGGATCGTATCGGCAACTTCTGAATGATACCCAGCCCTTGCGATGGGGAAACAACATTATAACATGGATCATAAAATAGAGTAATATAGGTCCTTTAAAAATGTCTTCTGTCAAATTAAGAAAACAATAGAAAACATTCACACATATGACTATTTTTAGACAAATATAAAACTTATTTTATGTAATATGTATAACTTTTTTATAAATAAGTTGGATTCTTCAGTCGTATATTTCTTGTAGTACAATTTGAAATAATGTATATGTCATAGAAACACCTCAAAGTGGGTCCAATATGTAACATTTCTGATTCAGGGTTCGTCGCCAATGTGTTACCATGGAGATGTCATTGCTTTGCTTGGAATGTTCCATGGTATGGCATTAAACTTATCTGTCTCCACACAGGCAAGCAAGTGATTTTTTTTTTTTTTTTCTTTTATCATTGGCATTTGTGTCCCTTTACAAAACATTAAAGATGCACTGTGTAACATTTCTTGAGCAGGATGTCTCCATGGAGATGTTATTGCTTTGTCTAGAATGTTCCACAGTGTAGATTAAACCCATCTATCACCAGGGAGACAAGCAGGTCACAGCACTTTACAGCTACATTACAGTTCAGATCTGTGGAAGGAATGATTTTATTTTTGAGCAATAGAAACACCTGTAATGAC